AAAGGGAATAGAAATAGAACTTTATTTTTTTCAAACTAAACAATACCTAAAAGGGAATTGATTCATGCTCTTCCTATGATGTATTCTCCTTCCATTTATCTTACATTTTTAGTAATTTAAAAAACAAACATTTTACATAATCAAATTATCATTATCATTACTTTAGAGCATGTTTAGTTTAAAAAATGGTACTCCATCTATTTCAATTCCATTGTCTCATTTATTAAATTTAAGTGTTTTAATTTAGTTGTTTTATTTTTTATTTAAATAAGATATTAAATATTATTTTTTAATTTTATTTCTATTATATAAATTTATTTATAGAGATAAAAAATGCTTTGTTAGTTAAGATCTTGTGATTGTTCATTGTTTAATTGCCTTATTTATTATACATGTAACCAAGTAGCAGCCTTTTTAAAGTAAGCTGTGAGCCTTTATATCATTATATTTTAAGTAATAAAAATTTCCACTTTACTTTAAAAAATTTGTTATTTTAACACTTAATTATAAAATTTTAATCAATCTTAATTTTTTCAAATATATGTAGAGTAAAAAGTGGGACAACTAAAATTTAAAAAATGGAGCATAAAATTTCTACTCTAATTCCTCATTTTTCATGTTTTATTGATTCTAAAAATATTGCCCAAAAGAGAAGGCACATGTCACCACCAAAAAAATGAAAAGAAAAGGCACATGTGAAAAAACTAAAGACAATGATTTGGGTCCCACGTGCACATGAATTAATAAAAGCCCAAAAAGCTCGTCTCCAAGGACCAACCTCATAGTCCTGTTGAAGGCCGAAAAACCCATAGGCCCGTCCGCTGGGAATTTAGTTCCCTGGCCCAAAGGTCTAGGGTTCAAAGGCAGCTAAAGCCTAAATGGTAAGAGGGATTCAGAGATGAAGAAGAAAATGTAGGAAAAGGTAGTTTTTTTTTTCAACGGAAATAGGTAGTATTAATTTACCGCTACTCTTTTATTTTCCTTTTATTTTAACTTGAATTTTTATAATTCAACTAAAATAAATGGCCAAAACAACAACAACAACAACAACAACAACAGTTATTCTTAAGTTCTAAGAGAAGGTTTAGCATATAGAAGTTTGTGGTTAATAGTTGGCAATTTGAAATTTAAACTAATCAAGAGAATAAAAATATTTACATTATAAATAATAAGGGTTTGTAAAAAATTAAGATATTTTGACAGCTTAAATTTTAGAAATGATAATTATAAGATTTAAATATTTTTTAATAAATTAATATATTAAAAAGATTTATTTAAAAATATTTAAACAATTTCATTAATAATATTGATATTTTAAATATAAATACATTCTAATTTTTATTTTTCTCAAAGAAAATATATGCCCTTTGAATATTAATTACCAATTGTATTTGGAGTGAGATCAACTAATACTAATATAAATTTATAAGACTCTTACACCAATTAACTTTACATTGGTGATCTATATATTATCACATACGCTGCCTTCTTAACAATGTTTTAAAGTATGACCTAGTGATTGACTTGTTTTGATCATTGATTCTGGTTCAATTGGATGGATTGATTTAATTGGCCTGGCTAATTGGTTAACTTAATAAATGCTATTCAATTTATTTTATCAATTATAAATTATTTTTACTTTAATTGATTTTATTTTTAAAATTAATTGAAATTATTTTTATATTTAGTGATCAAAATAATTATTAATTTTAAGACTTTATTTTCAAATTTTATTAATTTGAAATTAATTTTAATTTTAATTT